GAGTGCACAGAACCAAGTCCATATTTTAAAATTGCATCTGATTGAGATTTGCTTGAAAATTAAACCTGAATGAAGCAATCATTGACTAATGCTGATTGTCTGTTGTCCAAAGATATTTAGCACTTAACGTACATTACAAAATCAGCAGTCAGTTGGCTCGGTGCTTTGAGTATTTTAGCAAAACCAGATACATGCCTTTCTGATTTACACTGTTCCTCTGTTTTTACAATGCACTGACACAGCCCTCCATTTACGACATTATTTCTTATTCCCAACCAAAGGGCACTGCTAAGATTATGCTCAGTTGCTGAGTTCACAACATGGATCAGAACATGCTGTGCTTCCCAGTGATGAGGTCCTCTCTCTGCCTTCTACTCTTGAAACATGATGTAATATCCAGTTATTTCATGTTGCCTCTTATAACTTGTCAAATCAGAAAATGGAGTTAACTAGTTTTGGCAGTGTTATAAAAACAGTGAATTGGATGAACTTCCAGCACTTTGCTGGACTGCTAGTTAAATTTGCCAGTGAAGAAAAAATTCCGACATGTTAAACTGTGATAAAAGAATCAACTTTTTTAATCTGTTCAAAACCAGATTTTTTCCTTTCCGGATGTAATTTTATTAATTTTTGCTAACTTGTGTATGCTAATTTTTGACAGGCAGAGTTTAAATTTCAAGTTCATTTATGATTAAAGATAAAATTCAAGCTAAGCACCAAAATGCAAGTATTCTAAGAATACTGAGTGTTATTTCCAACAAAGAACATTAATCTGTCCAGATTTATTGGTTCTGGCATCAAATAATAATCAGCTAACCCTACTCAGATCAACAGAAATCACAAGGATTTCAGCATAGGTAATTAAGATAACTTGGGAGATTGGAATAGTTTCTAAGACAAGCTATAGATTTTTAATTTAATCAAAATACAGACCCTTCTGAAATGAAATGTGACATCTTGCTCAAAATACTTAACCCCTTGTATTTATAGGTTTGGTATAGTGTCTTTAGAAAATCATCTCGAAAGAGCAAAACCAAAACAAGTGGCAGTGTTAACCTTTAAACAATCCCTTTTGGACACTGTTACATTAGTACTGTATGTCTTGCCATCTGCATCCTTAGAACTGCTTGTTCACAAGTTTGGATTTACCTTGAGGAGGCTGAAAATGCTCCTTGAGAGGCAAGTGGTGTTTTAACTGATAGCTGGCTTGAGGACAGAGAGGGAAACAGCAAGGAAGAGGAAGGGAAGGAGTAGTTCTTCAGATTGTGGGTTCAGGAGGTGCTGCAGGACAGAGAGGGGTAAGTACAAACATTTGCCTGTAGAGAAGATTGGCAAGAACTGTTCAGTAAAGGCTAGCCACTAGTGAGCAAGACCCCAGCAGAAGGAGTAAGTCTAGAGAAACCTTTTTCATATTTACATTTTCCTACCAGGAGGAACTAATTTTATTTATTGTGTAAGGCTACTAGTTTATTCAGAAAAGGGAAAGCTATGTCAAGGTGGGATCCTTTAAATGTGAAAGAAGGGTCCATTCCAGATCTTCAGACACAGCAGGTCTTCCAGTACAGCTTTGTAGGCACTACATCCTTTGACTAGACAAACTTCTAGATTTTTCTCCTCCTATGGAATAGAGGTGAATACGGTTTTCAAGCAGCAGAAGATGCTTGATGATACATTTCAGCTGCCACAGTTAAGTGAGCGCTTTAAACAAAAATATAGTTTCCAAGAAAAGTGGAAAATCCATGCTAGTGGCATAAAATGCAGCCTGATCCCTGTTGCAGCAACACACTTGGAAGGCAGCAACATGTCTTGTGCTTCATTGCCCCCATGAGCAGTTTTTCATTCTTTGTGCTGCAGCAGTTAGCACCTAAAATGTCAGAGTGTGCAGAAGTCATCAGTTTCTGGATGAAAAGCAGCTGCCTCAACCCCACATAGGACCACTTTGGCATTTCCTTAATAATAAAATGTTAGGTTCTTCAAGAAAACCTTGGAGATCACTTCATTAAACCCTGCCTTTCTAAGGAGGGAAGGCAGGCAGCTGCAATCATTAGAATGATTGAACTTCTCAGAACTTAAGAACTTCTTAGAGCTTACAGTAATCACCAAAGGTGGACAAGTAGTTACATGCATTAAATTTCTTCTTTTACATTCCACCTAAAAGTGAACTGTAGTACACGTAGTTGGACCTAGTTCTCACCACATCATGTGTTATCTTGTTCCAAATGCTGGGAGCTGATGCATTTCAAGGTGAATATCTACACGTAAGGATTTCAACTGGTATAAAATGTGGCTGGATGTCTTCAGGCATTTTTCCTTTTTCAGTTTTACGGCACAATCCCAATCCTTAGATTTCTCTTTTAATTAAAAACTATGAAGGGCATTTCTGATTCTCTTTAGGTACCACGTCTCCTGAGAACTGCAGGTTCAAAGGACTTATGTATCTTTAATTTGTATAAAAAGAGTATTTGAAGAACAAGTTAACCCTTAGAAAACTGTGGTTACCCAGTAGACACCATGTTCTCTGTGCTGGATAGTATGGTTTTTGTATTTCCCCTTAAGGTCAGAGCACATTACATATTTATGTTCTTATATTTCCCCAGAAAACTTGAATGGTACGTTTGGGGGTGTGGGTGGGGGTGGGAGGGGCTGTCTGTAGGTGAAGCTAGCCATTTATAAAATACTGCAGTTCATCTTGGAGAGAAGATAAATGTTCTGAACCTGCCAATGTAATTAAGAGAAAAAGAAGACTCAGCTGCCAGTCACTGCTTAGAGTTACCGAACAGTGAAGGACTGGGCATCAACAGAGGCTCAGGGTGAAAATGTAGCTGTGTGCAGGTGGATTGAAGAGCCTGTGGAGCTATGCAGATTTGCTTAGACTACTTGTCAGGCATAGAAAAGCCCACAGATGTTGGCTTCTCTACCATTCTTTTGCAGGTGATAGGAAGCCCTGTAGAACCAGGAGCATGTCTGAGGAGGACCCTTTCTAACACTCACTGTAATTAAGTACAGTGAGCCATGCAGATAAAAGCCAAATTTGGAAGATTCGGCACATTTCTAGTGTGTTTTAAGGATAATTCCTTGTATAAATTCATTTTAGGTAATACACTTGGTTGCTTAGAGTTAACATACAGTCACCTAAGGAGTGTTGTGCTTAGTGTCCTCATCGTAACTCCCAGTTCACCTTTGCTGGCCAGGCAGTCATCAGCTGGCAGCTGACAGCGGGTTGTCCTCCTCTGCTGCTTTGTCTATGCTGGTGCTTGGCCTTGCTGAGCTGTCTTTTGAGTCCGAAGCAGGGTTTGCCTCAGGGATTTTAATGCTCTCACCTGTTTTTTCTCCTGACACCACCTCAGTAAGTTCAGTTCTGTCCTAGTGCTATTTTTATTTTTTATTTAGTTTGTTGTTGTTGTTGTTGCTGGTTTTTTATTATTTGTGTGGCTTCAGCTTAGTCAAGATTGAACATCTGTTTCTCACAAAACTGTACCCCAATGCAGAGATACCTAATGTCAGAGGCATAATGAGTTACAGAAGAGATGCAAGTGACAAATAGCTGTATAGTAGCAAGTCCTACATAGAAAACAGTGTAAAAGGTAGCCTTATTTGTAGCACATTTGTTGATGACTGGGTATCTTTACCTTTTTGATCCAATAAAATACTGAAACTGGGATACCACAGTGCAGTTTTGCTTCAACAACATGATTGAAACATTCAGAATATTCTAAACCAGGGTTGACGCTGAAAATCAGTTAATTTAGCAACAGTTTATTTTACCTACATACCTGAAAATTTGGATTATGAAATTAAGAAACAGTGACTGTTTAAATGATTTTATATCAACTTTGTGTATTGCACTGATTTCTGATGTATCTAATTATTTTTCTATTATGTTATTAGGAGATTCTTAAGAATGAAAGTTACAGAGAAGAAATGAAACAGAAAATCAAAGATGTGTCTGAAAAGGATAAGCTGCTTCAGGCTCAGGGATATAAGGAAGGACTTGTTGCTGAACCAGCTCATACTCATGTTAAAGGTCATGCATCTGCCCCTTACTACGGAAAAGAGGAGCCTTCACAAGATCCAACCAGCACTGCAAATACGTTTCAGCCAGGCTCATGGATGCCACCAAGCAGTAATAATAGTCGTAATAAGTAAACAATTGTACAGATACTGCTGATGGATAAATAGTTTAACACAAACATAAACAGCTGGTATATCGAAGTCTGCAATAAAGTAATATTAAAGTGGTTTCATTTATGTTTGCAAACTGTTCACATAGGCTTAATCATGGCAAACTACTGGAAAATGTTTGGGTTTAGTGAAAAGCAGCATCGTGTAACTATGTAAATTTGTTTTCAACACTTGCTTTTCACCAGTTACTTTTGAAATCATAGGCAGGTTTTCTATCTTACTTTTCTTAAAAATAAATGGGTTTTCAAGGAAAAATAATATTATTTAAAATTGGTTTTGATTAAATAAATTTTAGTTAATCAGCACACTTGGAATTTTCCTAAGCCTAGGCATCAGTTTGAGATAGTTTTTCAAAATGCTTTATTCCTTTGGCAGTGCCAGTGTGCTTGACTCTAGCAAGTGGATGGAAAAGTTTGTCTCATTGACAGGAATCACTACGACACCACACTGACTATGCACTGTATTAGTCTTACAGATATTCTTGTAACTTAAGAAAACAGTCAATGTATTTGAATAATGCTTGATTTGAGCCAGCAGTAAACACAGGATAAAATCAGGCTGAATTAAACTACATCTAACTATTATAGCAGAGGTTAGAAGCACTTGGTAAAGTTGCTGGAAAATAACACAAGGTTTGGGACAAGGGACTGTCATTAAAAAAAAAAAGGTATTATTTATTCCTGGTGTATGCAAGGACTTCCCTAAATTATACATGTATTTAGCCATAGTTTAGATACACAGAATGTGCAGATTACTTGTCTTAAGAGATGGTGTTTGAGAACTTCAAGTCAAAATAAAGACCATCTAATTTTTTGAAAAAAAAGTATCAAATTTATTTGTGCAGTGCATCCTTCATCAGTTCTCCTCCATGTTTTAAGCTAGTATATGTCAAAGACGGAACAGGTACACATTTGACACCACCTGATACAATATGGAGACTTAATCCCATGTGTTTATAAAATGCTGAAATGCCACATTCCAATAATGCTTGCTTTGACCAACAAAACTAAAAGGAAAGCAACAGTACTTCACATTCACTTCATTCCATAAAGACTCCCCATTTCTAATCCCTGGTATCCACCAGCTCTGTAGGTTCTCTCTTTTGAACAACAGTATTATTTATGTTTTACTTTTAAACACAATGAAGGTCTAGCTGCTAGAAAGCATAACTGCTGCTGTTTAGAAATACACTAAATCTAAAAAATTAATGACTGACACAAGCATTTCAGAACTAGACAATAAAAGAAACAGGCTTTGAAAAATTAATTGCTTGTTAGAAAAACATGAATTGGAATTAAGTTTAAATAATGTTGGCATAGTTACAACGCAAACACAACTTGGACTTTTTCCAGCATGGCAACATTTTGCAACCTGGAAAGCAGGAGAGTTCCAGGGTTCATGAGGGCAGAGATCCCCCCCTGAACTGAGAAGGTCCTAGACCAAAGGTAGCCAGGTTAGCAAGTAGGAAGAACTACTGGCACATCCTCCTCCCATAACCCCCACAAAACACTAGGCCACCTGGGCCTTTGGTCTTGCCCCATTTATGGCTATTCTTTGAGGCATAAAGTGTTTGAAGGCAGAAAACAGTTACAGGTGGAGTATTCAGGTGAGCATTAGGGGAAGCCCAGACAACATAGAAGTGGCTCAAGACAAATGAGGGTAGTTAGAACAAGCAATGAGAGTCCTAGAGTTTGGGCTGCATTTAAATACTGTTGATGGCTGGTAGTTCAGGAAGACCTAGGACAGGGGTTTTTTTGCAGGCAAGCCCCACCATCAAAGACACTACAGCATCCCCTATGGGCAGAGAGCCAAATGAACTGCACGGCCATATGCAGTGTTAAAGGAAATTGGTAACGTGCTACTAAGGAAGACTGATGCAAGCTCATCTCTACAGCTCTGCTGAAGGTCTGCAGAAACTTGCCTTTCTGTAATCTGGTTCACCATTCACAAGTTCCCCCATAATTTGACAATTTTAAGACACTTAGGCAATAGTTCAACTAAGGGAAAAAAATCATCTATGTCCAGAGCCACCCAACACACTGGTATTTTGTTTAACATGCAAAGTTAGAAAAGCAACCTAGACTAGAACAGGTAGGAGATTAAATGACTGTTAACAAGTGTCATTTGGACAAACTAACACAAATCATCTCAGCAGAAAAAAAAAATACACTAGAGGGACTAAATTCCCTGCATCAAGAAATCAGAGGATCAATTATCAAAGGACAGTTACAACACAATAAGTGTTTCATTTAGGAAGTGGATTCTTTGCACAAGGAAGACCTTTTTTTCCCATTTAATCCTTCTTTGTTCGTTTGGCTTTTGCAATATTCTCTTGGCGTTTCTGTTTCTTCTTTTGCTCTCGCTCCCTGGCCTCAATCATTTTTGCAAGTTTCCATGAAAGTGCTGCACTAATTATGAACAATGGCGTGAGGGCCAAGATCACTGTAGTAAGAAAGCCGTATGGGTCCTTTGCAGCCCACTCCACGATGTATTCAGCCCAGGCCTTAATATCAATCATCTTTTCTGGTTTTCTATTGGGAAAACCCTGCAGAATAATAAAAAAATAGTATTTCTGAGTATTCCGAAAAATAAAGGAATGCATACACACATATTGTCATTTTAATATGTCATCATCTTTCATTATTAAAGAGCAAGCTCACTTTTACTAGAAGTTAAAAGTAGTGCATCATACATGGCAGTGTAATACAAAGTGTTTGACCCTGCCTTAAAGTACAGTGTTTGTAAAATAATTAGGCATTTCATCCACAGAGCTTCAGGTAACACCAAGGTGCCACATGAAAAAAAGTCCATGCTTCTTTGGAAGAGAAGAGAGCCCGGTTGGATTGTTTAGTCTGGAGAAGAGAAGGCTCGGGTGACCTTATCACTCACCACAGCTACCCTGACAGTAGGCAATAGCGAGGTGCGGTCAGTCTCCCAAGTAACAAGTGATAGGACAAGAGCTAACAGCCTTAAGCGGCACCAGGGGCGGTTTAGATTAGATATCAGGAACAATCCCTTCCCCAGAGAGGGTGATTAGGCATTGGAACAGGCTGCCCAGGGAATGGTAAAATCACTGTCCCTGCAAGTGTTCACAAACTGTGTAGACTAGGCCCTCAGTGACATGGCTTACTGGTGGTCTTGGCAGTGCTGGAGTAATGGCTGGACTTAGTGATCTTAATGGTCTTTTCCAACCCAGTTGATGCTATGCTAAACAGTGAACTAAATATAGCCGGGGAGTAAAAAACCACCTCAGGCCTGAGTCAGCGGCAAGGCGCATGGGGATGCTGGGGAAACCCGGGGCCCCTCAGCCTGGGGGCAGCGGCCGGAACCCGAGCCCGACACCGGGGTCCCTCCCGCCCGCTCGCCACCAAAGCCATACCTCTCCCCCCTCCCGCCCCTCCCAATGGCCGCGTCGTGGAGACCTCGGCCGCGCCCTCACTCACCGGCGGCGGGGGGCCCAGCGCCGCCCCGGGCACCCTCCGGGCCTGCCGAGCGACGGAAGGCTGGCGCCCAGATCCCTGCGGAGAGAACACACAGCCCGTGAGCGAAAGGCGGCGCCGCTCGGGCGGAGCGTGGCGGGAAGGCACTGCCGGGGCTCGGGGCGGGGCGAAGGGGGCCGCACCAACCCCCCATCCCTCCCGCTGCCCCCCGGCCCGCGGTACCGCGTCCCTGCGGGGGGCCTGCCTGCCGAGCGGAAACAGGAAGGAGGCCCCAGCATCCGTCACCGCTGGGAGGGGCAGCCCGGCGCCGGGCGGAGCTTCCGGGGTGGGCCGGCCCCGCGGGCGGAGCTCCCAGTGACGGGCGCAGCCAGCTGCAGCGGTGGGCTGTCGTTTGCTGGCGAAGGCCGCATCTCGGAAAAGGCGGGTTTCCCGGTGTCCGAAGGGATTTCACCTCGCAGAACAGGCACGCTGAGGCTGCCGGCACCGTGCGGCGCGGACCCGTCGCAGCCCGGCGGTGATCGCTGACGCACTCGGGCCAGTGCGAGGCTGGGACCAGTACCCCGTAATGTCTCTTTTTCCTCTACCGCTGTGGAGCTGCTCCAGTGCGTGGTAGGACCTGCAGGTAGAGCACAAGTAACTCCTGCCGGTGGCTTGTGGAGGTTCCCCATGTGCCTCCTGCGCCCTGCGGGAAATCCCAGCCTCCCGGGGCTGTTGGACAGCTGGTGCCGGGCCGCAGTGCACCGAGCAGCTCCCGCCGCGAGCGAGCTGTGCCATAGCTGCCCGAGGCTGCCGCTGCAGCGCTGCTCCCCACGGGACTGACCTCAGCAAAGGGGCTCAGCGGATCTCTGCGTATTCCGAGTGACTGCAACAGCCTCTGGTGTTCTCAGGCTGCACAAGCAGGGTTTGACATTTTGCTTCACGTGTGTTGCACCACGCCTTCCCTTCTCCCTTTCCACACACGTGTGTGCATGCAAACACTAATGTGAATGCAAACATGTTTCCAAGGCAAAGTTAAGCGTAGATTAGGGTATTAGCTTAGTAAGTGAGATCTTAATAATCATTGATATTGTATTGACCAAATCAGGTGTTATTTTCGCTGTAGCATAACAGCAAACGCCATCAGGGCATTCCCCTTTGTATGTCTTTTTGTTCTGTGATCATTTACATCATTTAAAGGGCGGCAAAAAGGCAAATAAGAAATACAATTTGTCAATGAGAGTCACTGGCGAGATCTGAGCAACCTAAAATGCTTTAGGCTTTGTTGAATACAATTTTGTGCATTCAGCAAATGCAAATGTGCAATTTTTCATTATTTGTGACCTTATAAGGTGACCTTATCATAGAATGGTATCAGATTAGTTACACAGGATTTTCCCTCTGTGAACCCATGTTGACTGTGCCCAGTAATTTATTCTTTGTTCTTTAAATGCCTTTCAATAGCACCCAATGTGATCTTCTGTCTATTTTTTTCCAGGAACTGAGGTCAGACTGACATATCCATAGTTTCCTGGGTCTTCCCTTCTGCCCTTTTTGTAACCTGGAATAACACTGGCTAGCTTCCAGCCAGTGGGGATCTCCCAGCCTCCCAAGACCTTTGGCAGATATCTGTTCATGTATCTCTGTACTTGTGTTACCCAGCCATTTACATGAGCATTACACCTCTAGAGAGCTCATGGGTCCCTGTTTGGTCTGTAATTTGCAAATCTTGGCAAAATACAACAATCAAAATTTACTAGAGCTTAGATATCAATCCTGAGGTGCTGTATTTATTGGTATCCTTATCAGATGTTTTTGCATGCTGTGTAGTTAAGTCAAAATAAGATGGGCTGTTACATATGTATAGCCTATTTATGGTAAAATTGCATATGGGGCAAGAGGGGACACAGTTCTATTTCTGATGCTTGGGTGTCAAGTTCAGGTACTTATGCCAAAATAAGCACTAACTTAGTCAACAGCTATATAAAAGCTGCTTAATACCACCACCTTTAGACCAGCTGCAAAATTAAGTTCCAGTTCCAGTCTTTCTCATAATAGTAATAGCCTCATTTGTCTTTCTATGCTTTCTCTGCCGTATTGATTTAAAGAGGAAAGTGACTGATTCGTTGTAGCAGGGAAGAAATTAAAAGTAGAGATTTTTAATTATCTTTTCTAAGAAAACAGGTCTTATTTAATTACCTTTTCTAGTATTCTTCTGCCCCTAATATCTCCTGAAGTTGTTGACTGGTTTTATTGGCAAAGTAGTAGCGATCTCATGCATAATAAGTCTTGCTCCTTGAAGATTTGTGAAAATAGGCAGGTAGGTAGAGAAGGGAGGCCCAGGATACAACCTTGACTGAAAGCTGCAGTGCGTCTTTATTACGAATGAAGAGAATGGTTACTACCAGATAGAAAGGCTTCATTTGAGGCTTGCACTCTTACCAAATTCAGAATAATTCAACCTCAAGGCCACAGGAGATCATGGTACTTGTTTTCTGAGTTACTCAGTTTTATACTTTAAGTAAGCAAAGGGAGAACAGGAATTCCAGAATTCACTACAACTTGAACAAAGCAGCACGACCCTTAGCACATCAGAACATCAGAACACTTTAAAAGACCATCTTAAGCATATGCTTATATTAATTATAATTTTGCTACTTTGTAAATATGCACTTTCTTTTACATCTCGTCTAGAATTATTTTAAGTAGCTTTTCAGCTACTAGCATTAATGGCAGCAGCTACAGAAGTAGCATCAAACTGTAATACAGTATGAATTTATGAATCATCAACTTCAATAAAATTAAATCCCTAGTTTTTGAAATAAAAACATATCTATGAACAGCATTAAAATTTCTGTTTCAATGGCGTTTCATTACTGTTCATTGTCACACTTTCAAAGAGGGAGTGGGCAGAGCCATGGAAGCAGCACTGCAAAAATCCAGCATTAATAATGTAAGGTGCAATACAGAGAAATCTACTGAGAAAATAATGTAGGCATGGAAAATGGGAAAGTTACTTGCATGAAAGCAAAGACTTTCTCATGCCAACAGCGACTGGAAGGTCTGAGTGTTTCAGTACATGTGGTAAAGACAAGCTTTCAGTAAATGTATTATTTTCACTCAGATGTGTTGACATGTATCAGTGGTCCAGAATCATTCTGTATACGGAAGCTCCCAAGTACGTCATACAATGTAATCTCTAACTACCTTTTTATGATTTGTAAATTCTGATGATAAAGAAGTTCCTTGGGGCTCTGTTTTTTCTACATAGAGTGTGAATTCTCCAGTAATTTTTTTTGCAGTTATTAATGTCCCGGACGTGTTGTACTCCACCTGCTGAATATTGCTGTCTCTAGAAAAGCTAGGGAATTATTGTGCTGTTGCGGAGTGCTGGGGTTTTGTAGAGTTTTAAAAAGCAAGTCAACTATTGCTTTTTTCTCCAGCCTGTAAAGCCTCTAAGCTGTGAAAGCTTTACTGGTAATTTTTTAACCATGTGTGACATACCCACAGCATGTGCCAGCCAATAAACAGTCTGATTTTAATAGCTTTACTTGAGCCAACAAAACTCCTTTGTACCACTGGGGATTAAGGATTTATTTTTTTTCTGGTGCAATTCTTTGCTTTAGAAAATTGTTGGTTTATGTTTAAGTGGATCTGCAGTGTATCTTCATTCTGTAAATTGCATGATACCCATGTATTTGTAGTTTGCCTAGTACTAAACACAGCTAGATCTGACTTTCCAAGATGAAAGTGGTCAAAATAATGAGTAATACTGCAGTCCTACTTAATTCGTTTCTAACCATCCTTATGAATTATTCTGCTACTATATACTTTCAAGGACAGAGCAAGTGTTGGGGCAGTCCATGACCCACAGGCCAAGTAGCATGCTGCCCACTTTCCTATCGTAAGTATGTGATAGAACATAGAATATGTATATCTTATATTCACTTAAAGAATGATCAAATGCTTCCGTGCTCTAGATGGACTCACTTTTGCAATAGCGCAGTTTTTACTACCTTTATGATGAGAGATATAACTGAAGACCTGACATGTGTCCATCCTTCATTTGTTCCTCTTTTAGGTTTTTGTACAGTTCAAAAAGGGGAAAGAATTAACAAAGTTACAAATGGAAGTTATTCAAACAATAGACATATTTCTTCTGAATTTTGATATGGTCATGACTAATATGGGTATTAACATACTTCTGGGTTGTCTTGGATTATAATAAGGGGAAGGAGAGAAAAAACATCATCAATGTGGCTTTTATAAATCCTCAGAGCTTTTCCCAGAGGTAGCTTAATGTAGCTCTTCAGGTAAAATCCCGAGAACCACAGGATCATAAACCAACTGTGACCCTGGGCCTGGGCTCATTCTGAAAATTTTAGGCATCTCCACGGAAGTTTGTTCTCCCAGAAACAAGGGAGAAAGGCAACAGAGGGAGATGGGTGTCTGTCTCTGAGCAGTGACTCAGGCGCCCCACTATTTTTCACTCTCTGAAGCTGCTTGTTACCTCTCACGGACCATAGAGGGCACTAAGGACTGAGAATAGTGCTCCCAGCTCCAGCACCTCAGTTAAATGGCAAGTGAAGAGCAAGAAACCCAAACCAAACAGCATATCCTTCGGAGAATCAGCGCCATGTGTTTATGTATATGTAGGTGGTAATATTTATACACCTTCTTAAAATATTTTGAGGTATTGAATAAAAGAAACAGTGCCATTATGACCATCAAATGAACTTTTAGGATCCAGATGTTCCTTTTTTTTTTTTTTTTTTTAGAAGCTTTAATTTAACAAGCAATTTATGTCTATTATAAAACATATAAAGTAAAATCTAAACACAACCTTTTCAAATCGGGGGAGTATATGGGTGCAGTTGGAATACTACTTCTGTTTTGTGTCTTAACCAATTTTGTATTACAAAAACCTACTAGAACTTGGTGTTTCTAGTGGGTAACCAGCTATCTCCCCAAAACTGTGTGCAAGCAGGTTCATTTGTGGCTTCTTCAGCAGAGCAGCCAAAGTTAAGGAGACTGATTGACATTTAAGTCTTAAATGATGTTCTTTTTGGGACTTGACTGATGTACACTGTAAGGTAAGAAACTCAACCTAATGTGTGTGTGATATGTATGTTTTGAGAACTAGAGAACCAGAACCATACTTCTGTCTAATCTGTCACATTTCACAGGAGAGCTGAGCATAATTATTGCTTTTATGGTTTCTTTCCAAGAGAAGTAGAAAGTGATACTGCTTCACTAAGTGTCACAGCTGCTTCCTTCACCAGGTCACACTG